AGGTTTTCTTTAGAAAACTCCAGATTCCAAAAGTTTGAAATTTGGGTTTAGAATTTGAAATTAGAATTTGGAATTGGGATTTGAATTAGAATTTGGAGTTTATATTTGGAATTTGGGTTTGGAATAGGTTTAAAATTTGGGATTTGTCCAGTTTTGATATAAAGATTTTTAAATATACATGGACAAATCTATTTGTTCAAGTTTATCTATAGCTCAATCTCAAATTCTATAAATTTTGCTAACAAATATAACTAGGAAGCTATCTATTTAAACTTTCTGGTTACAAATCTTGCTATATTTTTAACCTAACTTGGGCATCACCTCACCACTTATAAACTAGATCTATATAATACTACTAGATTAATAACCAACTTAGAACTTCTTTTGGCTAATCCTTGAGATAAATCTGATACTACATTATCATGTTCTACACATAGATATAGTGCTTATTCAGTATATATATTTTTTACTGCTATTGTGTTTGTATCTCATGCCACCTTTTGAAATGCTACTATAATTCAATTCAATTCATATCTCAAGCACAATCTTTCTAACTAGTTCTCTATTACTTATTTCTTACTTTTATTAAGATTTACAATTTTTAGTACCCTATTCTGTCTCTTCATACTCTATACACTTGGTTTGGTCTTCTAATTTAGATAGCTCAAAAAGATTGGTCTGCCCAGATCTAAGTTTTTAGACTTAAGACTGAAGGTTTCCTAATTCATGATACATACTTTTACAACACATGCTCTTTTTTTCAGAGGTCTTATTTTAAGATTTTTATTATTAATCATCTAGTTAATAAATTAACTAATAAATATATAACTAGTATGATTTTAGTAACCCTAGCAGCCTAATTGGTAGATTCTTTTGTCTAATATCTTTGTTGCCTGATTCAATTTCCGGCCTTTCTGTTCTGTCTTGTAGCACTGTCAAAAGTTTACTAGTCCTTACTCAGGATTTGCTAGCTAGTTTCAAATCTCTAGGTTCTCTGTATAGATATCTTTGTAATTTTTTGTTTTTAGAAGACTTGTTGTAAGTTTGTACTAGCTAAAATAGTTTGTATTCCTTTGTACAATGACATGAATGCTTCCAGAAGCTTCCAACGCCCAAGAGCATTGGTGTGACCCAAGCAACAAGTTATAAACCCAACCCAATATAAGAGACCTATTACTATAATACAGGTAATTTTGTACAAAACATCATCAGTAGAATTTGAACTCAGTACTGTAGTCAAGCTAGCTTGGGGTGTGACAACTTTACTACTTCACTAAGTCACCATACCCATTATAAATAAAAATTTTAAAATTATATACATATATATTTATTATATAATACATTTTTTTCTATACTAGTATCTATTTTATTTTGTTTAAAATTTTTTTTTAAAATATTTTTTCTTGATTGCATCTACTAATATAATTGTAGAAAAACCCTCTTTACAAATAAAACAGAAATTGAATTTAAGTGCAAAAACTGTATTGAAAACTTTTTTAAAACCCTCTAATCATAATTAGAAAGCTGATATGCAAGTGGTAATGACTAGATATTTTGATCTACTATTATAAAAGTTAATCGCTATCTTCTAGCATCATTTTTTGCAGCCTTTTGTTCAGGAATATAATTTTTTTTTTACAGGCAAATCCTCTTACACGCTGAGTCTTTTATAATTTTAAAAAAATTATAATTAATCAATGAGATTACTATTTTAGCTTATAGAAATTATAACATTTATTTATGTGAAGAAAATGCGATTTAGCTTTCTATATAATATTTAACATTAATTTTTCACAAAAAAATTACACCCAACCCCTTATATGACAAACTGACAGTTCTGGAAAAAAAATATACTTATAGAAAAATTATAAGATCCATAGTGCTTTTTATCTTGAACTATTTAAATATTAAAATTTGAATTTTTAATACCCAGATTCGTTATAAAGTGGCTCATTATATAAACCAGAGAGCCGAGATTTATATAGTAAACATTTGTCAGTTCTAGATACTATTTTATTACATTTATTGTATTATTTCTATATTTTGATTGTTTGGGTTTAATTTAAATTTAATATTATTCTGCCTAAGATCTAAAGAAGTTAGAGTAAAATTCTCGTAAAGCGCAGCTTCAAATGCTTTTCCATCTTCTGATTCAAGTCCGTTATGTTGAAGTTCCAAAGAAGTTAGTGTGGTGTTCTTGTAAAGTGCATCAGCTAATGCTTTTCCTCCTTCAGATCCGATATTATTATTTTCAAGATTCAACGAAATTAGCGTGGTATTTTTGCAAAGTGCATTTGCTAATGCTTTTCCACCTTCTGACTCAAGATAATTTCCATAAAGACTTAAATATTTCAGCGTAGAGTTTTTGCAAAGTGCATCAGCTAATGCTTTTCCTCCTTCTGATCCAAGATTATTAAAACTAAGATTCAAATCTTTCAACGTTTTGTTCTCGCAAAGTGCATTTGCTAATGCTTTTCCTCCTTCTGATTCAAGTCTGTTATATTGGAGACCCAAAGAAATCAGAGAGTTATTCTTGCAAAGAGCATTTGCTAATGCTATTCCTCCTTCTGATTCAAGATTATTAAAACTAAGATTTAAATTTTTTAACGTAGCATTCTTACAAAGAGCATCAGCTAATGCTTTTCCTCCTTCTGATCCAAGTTTGTTATATTGAAGATCTAAAGAAGTCAGCGTAGTGTTCATGCAAAGTGCATCGGCTAATGCTTTTCCTCCTCCTGATTCAAGATTATTATTTTCGAGGTTCAATGAAGTCAATGTAGTGTTCTTGCAAAGTGCATCAGCTAATGCTTTTCCTTCCTCTGATTCAAGATTATTTGTAGCAAGATTTAAAGAAGTTAGCGTGGAATTCTTGAGAAGTGAACCTGCTAGTGCTTTTCCTCCTTCTGATCCAAGATTATTAAAACTAAGATCCAAATCTTTCAGCGTGGTGTTCTTGCAAAGTGCATCTGCTAGTGCTTTTCCTCCCTCCGATCCAAGTTTATTATCATGGAGATTCAAAGAAGTCACCGTGGTATTCTTGCAAAGTGCCTTCATTAATTCATTTAAATTTTCCAATCCACATTTGCCATAAAGAAGGTCCCATGTTGAAGCAATTTTTTGATCTTCAACGCTATGTTGTTTATTTTCGAGAATTTCATTATAAAGCTCTAATGCTTCGAGAAATTTACATTGATTAAAATATTCATATGCTTCCTCTCTCTTATTTTCAAGAAGGACACTGTCTTGATCAAAATCAGGTAGATAAGGTGGATCAGATAACGCAATTTCATGTGGATTAAATTGTGAATTTGAAGCGCTTTCATTATTTTCTATTGAATTTTCATCAGTGGCAGATTGATTTAAACCTTCGGTAGCGAGTTGTTTTAAAGTATGAAGAATCGATTTCGTCTCTGGGCGTTTAGCAGGATCCCTGTCCCAACATTGCTTGTAAAGTTCAATATATTGTAATGGCGTGCCTTTGACAGGCTCCTCTCTTTTCCCTTCCGAAATAAAACCAATTATAATAAGGTTATTGAAGGATTCGAATGGTGGTCTTCCACTTGAAATTTCCCATAGGATTATTCCAAAACTATAAATGTCGGATTTTTTATTACGTACATATTTTTGATCGGTAAAACATTTTGGATCAATATAAGATAGCATTCCGTTGGTAATTGAACCTGAAGTCATCATGGACGTCTCATTTATCTGTTTTGATAATCCAAAATCTGTAATCATTGGTCTTTCTTGATGGATTAAGATATTCTTTGAATGCTAAAATTATTGGAATATTAATTGAATTAATGAATTAAAATTTTATAATTGATATAAAGTCTAATAATTTATACAATACTTACAAGGTCTCGATGAACAATATTATTACTATGTAAGAATGAAAGTCCGAGTGTAATGTCTTTAGCGATGCGAAATTTATCTGTCCAATGTAATTTTGTAAAGTTTGCTTTTAGATATTCTCGTAAAGTTCCTTCATAAGCATATTGTAAAACCATATTATAATATCCGCTACTATCTATATATTCGATTCGATAAAATTTGATTATTATTTAATACCTCAAAAATTAGCAACAACTCATTTACCTTTAGTGACCCCATAGAACGTAATAACATTTGGATGGTGACAAACTTTCCGTAATAATTTAAGCTAATTATTTGAATTATATCAATTTAATAAAATAACTTATTATTCAGAGTTGTAATACAATAAGAATACCTCTTTAATAAAATCATTAATGATTCTTTCATCCATACTTCTCTCGACTCTAAGACATTTAAGAGCAACTATTAATTCACTTTCCTTCCATTCACATTTAAAAACCTTTCCGAAACCTCCAATGCCGATCACAATTGGGTCTGTAAATTTATCATATTCTATATAATTAATATGCCCTTCAGAAATAGCTTTTTCAAGCCATGTATCTTCTGGTTTATTTGTCATGATTTTTTGTATGTGCCAATCGTATGTACGACTTACTCATCCCACAATGGCATGTATTTATACGTATGTACTTACATGTACTACGTGACACAATATTTTAATTCCACCAGATCTACGCTAAACTAGAAGTGTACAATAATTAACCGAGTAATGGCAATAGTAAATTAAATGTTATTTTCGTACGTATATAGATATAAGTGTAAATTATTGCCCGATGCAAAAAGATTGATACGTATCTCAAAAGTTTAATTAAAATGTACTACGTACTAATAAAAGTCTTTAAAATATTAATAATATAATTAAAAATTTTTTACAAGCTAAATAATTATGTTTTAAGCTATCTTTTTTTATTAAATATATTTTATAATTTTTTATACATGAGAGCTAACTTTTTAGATAAAAAAAAATTACAAAGAAAAAATTTTTCCAAAAAATGAATTTAATTAATATCTCAAAGAATATTGTTTAACACTATTCTAAATTTTTGAAAAATAATAGTCTTCTTATAATATTATTTGCGATTTGTGTCAATTTTTTCATCACTATGTTTATATTCTTTAAGGAATTTTATGGAAATGACAAATTTCACCAATGGGCAAGGCAAAATGTTTTCGCTTCTTCAGTATTTATTGTTCTGAGTTACTGTGATATAGAATCCTTAGATTTTATTTCTTCAGGTATTTCAAAATCATCATGCGTTCAAGCGCCTTTCTCCCAAGGTGTATATGAAGCCATGTACCTATGTACATTTTTTGTTATGTTTATTGAAGATATACCACAATTCATAATTCTGGTATGTTTGTGTTGTGCAAGTAAATTATTGTCTAAATCTGTGACTAAAACATTAAATAATTAAAATTTTCTATTATTTTTAACCTAGGTTATATATTTGCAAAGAGTAGTCATAATTAGATTCATTCCACTTATTACCGTATTCACATGTGCACTAATAATAGTAACAAACATTGTTAGTCATGTATATGATTGCATAAACATGATTCGGGATGCAAGAAATGCTGATACATCAAAAAAAACATATAAAAAATGATGGGAAGTTGGAAAAGCTTCAGCTTCAAGGCGAATGTCTTCTCGTAAGCATCCTCATTTCTTGAGTGGATTTGTTCCAATTCAACCTGATCCAGCCACTCAGGTTGAGTCCCCTGC